ATATATATATATATATATATATATATATATATATATATACAGTCTATCCTATTAATCCGTTATCATATATATATATATATATATATATATATATAATTATTATTATTATTTTTTTAATTTATAACATAAATACGTTATAAAATCACTACAAAATAGCCGTTTTGTTTCAACACCCCCGATAAGACACCGGGGTTGTTGAAACAAAATGGCTATTTTTGTCGCGATTTTATAATATATTTATGTTATGAATTTAAAAAAAATAAAAATAATTATATCTGCTCTACTTTGTATTGAGCACTCTTTTAAGAATAATTGTTGGTTATTAAAATTCATTCCGTATACACCAATTTTATTTATATATATATATATATATATATATATATATATATATATATATATATATATATATATATATAATTTTTCGCGACGGCACGTAGGCGAAAGTGAACGCAAAAGATTTGATCAGAATTCGAAACCGCCTCATCGGTGCAAATTTATCTGCCGATAACCATTGGCTAATTTTAGTCACAAGGCCACATGTGCAAATGCTCAGGGAGAGATTAGCTAATTTTTCAATATTAATGATCGACACATTGTGTAATCATTACGCTAAGTATAAATAATGAATAAAAATGGCGAGATATTTTACTTAGAAACCACTGATTTCATGAGTCGTGATTGATTAGACCATCCTTATATTATAATCCATTACACAAAACGTACATTATAATCCATTATACCATCCTAACTGTATAATCCATTATACCATCCTAACTGTATAATCCATTACACCCCCTTGCATTATAATCCATTACGTAAAACTTACATTATCATCATTAACCATACTTACGTTATAATCCATTACACCGCCCTTATCTTATAATCTATTACCATACCTTTACATTGTAATCCATTACACTCCATTACATTATAATCCATTGTAAATCACTTACTTTATAATCTTTTACACCACACTAGCATTTTAATCTATTACAGAAGCTTACATTATAATTCTTTATACCACCTTAATATACTATTTCGCTACCTTTTCATTATGATTATCACTCCCCTCACAATACAATCCATTACACTGCCCTTACATTATAATCCCTTATACCACCCTTATCTTATAATCCATTACACAAACCTTACATTATATTCCATTACACGAACCTTACATTAATATCCATTAACCTCACTTACACTATAATCCATTACCCAAAATTTACATTATAATCTATTAACCACACTTGCGTTACAATCTATTATACCACCCAACATTATAATTCATTACATCGCCCTTATTTTATGATATTACCCCACTTTTACATTTTAATCATTACATCCACTTACATTAAGCTGCCTTACTTAATGTTCTATTACACCACATATAAGCTTACACTATAATTCTTTACAACATCTTTATATTCTATTTCGCTATCCTTTCATTATGATCTATTACACCTACCTTACATTATAATCCATTTTACCAAATTCCAATATAATCCATTACATTATCTTAAACTATAATATATAACACTACCCTTAATATAATCTCTTACACAACCATTAGATTATAATCTATTACAACACACTTACATTATAATTCTCTACACCTACCTTACATTATAATCCATTTTACCAAATTTCAATATAATCCATTACATTATCTTAAACTATAATCTATAACACTACCCTTAATATAATCTCTTACACAACCATTAGATTATAATCTATTATAGCACACTTACATTATAATTCTCTACACCTACCTTATAATCATTTTATAATAATCCATTTTTACCAAATTTCAATATAATCCATTACATTATCTTAAACTATAATCTATAAATTCACTACCCTTAATATAATCTCTTACAATCATTACATTAGATTATAATCTATTACCTTAATTTCACTTACATTATAATTCTCTACACCTACCTTACATTATAATCCATTTTACCAAATTTCAATATAATCCATTACATTATCTTAAACTATAATCTATAACACTACCCTTAATATAATCTCTTACATAATCGTTAGATTATAATCTATTACAGCACACTTACATTATAATTCTCTACACCTACCTTACATTATAATCCATTTCACCATCCTTTCATTATAATCGATTGCACCAACCTTAATTCTCAATATATTTCAGCACCCTTGCATTATTATCTGTTACACCAACTTTACAATATAATACTTGTCCAACCCCGCTTTCTATTTTAGTGTATTTACTGAGTTCATTTACTCTCCGTATGTAGACGGCATGCTCCCAGTATCTGGTCTTTATTATTCTAATATCCTTCCAAAATAATCCAGGCTTACCTGGCTGTTCGAACAGTTCTTTGTGACGTAGTTTATCAAACGCCTTGCCATAATCTATAAAACATAAGTGTACATCATTTAGCATTTCTATTGCTCTTTCTGATATCATTCTGAACCTAAATGTCTCATTCTTTTCCCCCAGTGTCTTTAATGGATCCGCCCTGCTCTTGTCCTTTTGTGGTCTAATTCTCCTGTGGGCCCTATTAATCAGAATTCGTATAAGTTTTGTTATGGGCTTCATTAGGCTGATTGTCACAATGGCGTTCACATTCGTTTGCCCCTGGCTTCTAAGGAAACGTTATTATTACCTACTTCGGTCTTCCGATATAACACCATTGTCGTAAATTTCATTTATTAAGGCTGTAATTTTGTCAATGGCGAAATCACCTGAAGCTGCCAGCATCTCTATTACAATTCCATCTGGCTCTGCTGCCTTGTACTTGCTCAGTTTGGCCCGTGATGATTTCACTTCAGTAATACTGAAAAGAAAAATGATTATTTTTCTAAAAAGTAAGTTATCTCCCTTGGATGTATAATGGTTGTAACCTGACGGAATTTTTTTGTTTTTAATTATTATTATTGTAAATGCTAATTCTAAAACAGGAGGGACTCGTTGATTAATTTTAGAAAATGTACTTTGTAATAATAGGAAAGATTTTGGTTTGACCGATTGCTATGGCAGACAAAATGTATTGTAAAAGAACTGTAAGAAGCAGTCGATATTAAAAAAAAAACAAAAAAGCAAAAAAAAAACTAGTCAATGTAGGGACATTTTGTCGAGCAATATAGCCAACGTTTTATTACAATACCGTGCATGTTTAAGTGGTCTTTTGGGGGGAAATTGGAGAAGATAAAGTTAAAAAAGAAAATTCTACAATTTTTCTCGTTAGGACATTTCTCAGAGTTGGCCATGTTTTTTGGTTTATTTGCGTTAAGGAATTTCCAGAAGGAAAGTAAGGAATTTGTGCCAAATAATTTTCGTCTATATTACTTCTAGACGACGAATTCAACAAAAAAAAAGTATTAACATATAAAATACGAGAAGGCGTTTGCCTTTCTGTTCATTTGATTATTTTAAAATCAAAAATGTTCTTTGACCACTAACGACTGGAGGAAGAATGTAATTTAGGCATGTGTATGAAAGAGAGAATGATAGAAAGGCTGAGAAACAGAAAGGCGGAGAGAAAAACATCATTTCTCCAGATCTCTCGCAGAACCAAACCTGGCACCCCCATAACAATTGAATCCTAATTTTCTTCCATTATATCGGCTCCTGTTTCACGTCTCGAAAGCTTTTCCAAATTCATTCTCGTTTAATAATTATTTTTCTCGGTCGGAAAGCGTAATTAATTGATTTTGGAATATGAATTTGTACTTTTAAGTAAGATTTGTATTTTCAATTATAACTTTATATATTTTAAAGATTTTTTAAAAACTCTTTGTATTCCTTTCAAATTAACATTTCATTCTTCATATAACCACAATTTAATGTCATACGGTTAATATCCGGGTTTAATTTTATAAAACCTCTTCCCTTTAAGACAAATACCTTCCACCCTCCCTTGACCCGTCTCTTGTGCCTTTCGTCTGAATGAAACATCGAAATTGATAAATTCTGGATTAGTTTTTCGACGGGATTTTTATTTTTATTTTTTTATTTTTGTAGCTTTCAGAGTTAAATATCTATTTCTGACATGAACTCAGTCCACACCGGGGTTGATAAGAATGACGACTTATATTTTCGTCTGCCGAAATAAGCTGATTCCCCATATGAAGTGATTCGGCTTTTATTGTGTATTAATTATTTGCTCTGTAATAATAAATACATTGGGCTATGTTTGTGGAAAAGTTTTAATATTTTATATTACTAGGATCCACTTGGATTATATACCAACCGATTTATTACCTTTACTATTGTGTTTCGTATCCCGGCCATGACGAAAAAATACATCCGACAGCAAGGTCTCTAATCAGGAGGTTTTGAGGAGTGTGGAACCACCTCTTAATTGCTGTTTTTCCCAGGTCCAACCTTACCCGGGCTGGGAGCAGCTGTTAAGGTACCAACTATGGGGAAATAGTTAACCCACAAACTCTAGTCAAAATACTATGAAAGTGTAAAAATACGTTTTCGTAGTAAAAATACCAGCAATACATTTTCATATTTAAAAAAATCAACTGTCATAAATTTGTGTAAAAGAAATTACTAATGACCTCAAGAAAATTAAATTTCGGCATTAAATTACCCATAAAGAGTTGATATACTGCTAAACAAGCAATAGCAATACATTGTATGTTTATTTGATATTTCCGGGAAGGTATAAGAATTTCTATATTCTACAACCTCACATTGTTTTTTGTCTGCGAACTTTTTTCTCAGTGTAAAATTATGACTGATTTGTTTTTTACGGTTTATCCACCCAGTGCAGGTTATTTAAAGCCAGAAAAATATCTTTACATTGTAATATTTTTTTTAGATAATATTTATTTAGTGATACAGTCTTATTAATTAACCCATAGCTGGAGGTAGAAGAGGTGGATTTATACCTTTCCCAATGTGTATTTGTACATAAATGAATATGAAGAACCCAACGAGAATTGAAACTCGGTTCTTCGAATAGCAATTCTGAAACGTAATCCATTATACCACTCACACATCCATGCTTACAGCACCTAATATCCCCAAGTGGTTACTCCTCTCGGTACTGACTAGGCTCAGGTTGCTTAACTTCAATGATCGTATGTAAACCGGTGTTTCGACGTGATATGGCCGTAAACTGCCTTGAAAACAAGCCACTGATGTTTCACTATTACTGTTCAAGCCTTGATTTTCTCCGGTCACGTTAGACAGTTGTGCACTCAATGAAACCCCAAACATTGAAGGTGTATTTGATCACAAATTCACCCCAAGTGTAACTCATATATACAATCCACTGCATTCCTAAACGGTTACCTATCTGAGTACTGACCAGGCTCGATGTTTCTAAACTTCGCTGATTGTAGGGGAACTGCTCACGATGATGGAAAAAATAGTTGGCTTATTTGGTTGCTTTAAGTATTACCTGAATCCGTCGTCCATCCTTTATCTTTACGAGTATACGATTAGATAATAGATAGAGTATTGTTGCCAAGTCTGGATTGTAGACACTGAATCCTCATTTTCCAGCTTTGATTGGGATCAAAATCGTCTACGTGATCTTTTAGGGAAGATTTATTCTCCACTTGGATGTCTCCACTGTATTCCAAAGCGGTTACTCATCAAGATAATGACCAGGTTCGACGTTGCTTAACTTCCCTGATCGTACGGAAAACGGTGCTTCAAAGTTATGTACCTGTAGGTCACTTTTCCCAATTAAGAGTAATAGCACAATAAACAAACTACGAATTAGAGACACCAGACCGAACTTCTTGAACAAGGCTTGCTATTCCAAGAGCAGAGACCATAGTCTTAAGGGTCACGCCACCCCAGCTCCAATCTTTACTTTCGATTCCCCCAGAGTGGTATTAATCATTCAGTAATCCCATTTGCCTGGATGGTGTCAGTAGCTTTATTCGACAGCCTTCCTAGAGTTGGTGTCCCGATATAGTCGCGCAGTCTCCTGTTTTGAGAACAGGTTCATAGGAGTAGACAGGCTTACCGATCGAGCGGCTCGCACTTTTTCGATGTCTATTGTAAAGGAATAGAGGAACATCGCTTGTTCGCCGGTATTTTCCGTTTCCATGACCAGATTTACTGTCTGAAAATTTTTGAAATCAGACTAACCGGTGATTGGGGTTTTCCTTTATGAAGGTACCAAGTAGGTAGTTTGTTGTTTTAGTTTGTTGGTTTCTACATCGGAATGTTAGTTAGGAGAACGAACTCTTTGCTAGCGTTTAGAGAGGTTTCCTTGATCAACAATCACATAATATCACGATATTTGTAATGACATATAGGTGTATAAGTAGATGTCCTTGTATGTATTTCCGGTGGGCACCCCTGAGCCCACATTATGCACAGGTCTTATCCACATTCTGGTTAGTTTGTACTGACACTGACAACATTTAGCGATAATTATGTTGCCCTTTTCATTTCATTTTTCTTGTATTTTCTCTTCATGCCAAATAAAATGAAAAGAGATACAAGAAAAAGATCAGTAAACAAAAAATGTGTATAAATATACTTGCGAACTCGGATAATTTTTCTCTGTGAATAAAAAAAATACAACACGTTTTACATAATATATAACACAACAACACTATCACGGAGACTCATCTGCCACATATCGGACCTTAGTTGCATCAAACAACACAAAAATAAGCAGCATAAGGATCACAGTAACACTAGACTGCTACACAGTAACAATACTAAAATACTAGCCAACAAAATAGTAAAAGAAACTTATGATCCTTGAAGCAATACTCATAAAATAAACTATCAATTTATAGATTCTGTAGAAAATATAGTATTTCGACCGATAATTTGATCAGGTACGCGGCTGAGCCGGGTCTGTCGTGCGAGACGTGGAGATAAAAAAAATAGTTAAATATTCTTCTCTTGCTCCTGTGGCAGTGGAGATTTCTGGGCTTAATTTCCCTCGTTCGATGGTGTTCCTTCGGAGAATTGGCGGGATGGCGTTTCGATTAACAGACGAGCCTCGTGAAAGGGAGTGGCTCTTGCAGCGTGTCTCACTGGCGATGGTGCGAGGTAATGTTTTCTTCCTCATTGCGTCTGGCAGAAGATAGCAAAAAACATTTTGTTTCTAGATGTTTTGTTCAAATAAATGTAAATTAATATATATGTGAATTAAAAAACTATAGTCTAAGAGCCCGCATTCTCAAATATACATGAGAAAAATCACACGTCTCGCTTCGCTTAACGTCACAAAACTCACTAGTTCTATGAAAGTCACCAATTATCACTGCCTAAACTGATGAGGACTTAAGAAATTCGCAAGATTGGACCAAATTTCTTGTACTTTTCTTCCGAACTGAACTTTGAACTTTTTTCTGACTTAATTTCCTCTTTGTCTGAGAAGGATTGTTCCTAATTTGGAAAAGTCGATTGGCAAAGCCAATCGATAAAAAAAATCTGTTTTTTGGGGTTTTTTTTTTGGGTGGGGGTTAATATTTACCTTAAATTATTATTATATGTTCAATATTGCATACCCCAAACTGAGAAAATATAGAGATGGTCATCCACAGAAAATGTACTGTGGAGAGATTTAGATACGGTGAAGTAATGGAGACCGGCTCGCATTGAGGAAAGGGAGAGCCGAGTTCGAACTCCATTGGAATCCATATCCGAATATTACGTGTTAATACCCTATGAATCCTCTTCTTCTCCCGTCAGCTATGGGTAAATAGCAGGACAGACCGAGTTCTATAGGCTTCGATGGCAACTGGCCTGCAACAGAAAAAAATGGCAACCTACTGCGGCCAGTCATGTATCGAAAGATACATGTTCGCCTAAGCGTGTATCACGCATGGCACATAACTGACTGAAATTTAAACCCCCTGCATCTTAGGCCAAGAAAAGAAGTTTATTTCATTCTTCTTGTGTCTTAGTTGCTTTATATCTTGCTTGGAGCAAAAGGATTAAAAAGTGCTGTGGATATGTTATTGTTCTTTGCTGTTCAATGGATGTTTTAAAAATCGAACGTCTAAAATTTATTGTTTAGTACGTTTTTTGAACAAATGTTTGCAGCGAGTTCAACATGAAACATTTCAGAATTTCAAGGTAAGTTATTTAAAAAAAAAACTATATCTAGATATTTTAAAAGAATATATTGTATTTTTTTAAAAATCGATACTCATCTACAGTATTATCTGATTTGGCAACAGAGAAGTCTCGTTTCGCAAAAACTATACATGTTACCCGAGCGTTCAGATACAATGCAATATTTCAATAAAAGATAAACACCTCAAAATCTTTATTTCTAAAGTCTCCATCTAAACCCTGAAGATCTAATTATTATTTATGTCTATCTATTTAATTTTTTCTGATTTTTTGTTTATTTTCCTAAATAGGAATAAATAGGTTCACTTGTCACCCAGTTCACACGCCTCCTCGATTTTCTTTTAAAAGGACTAGAGATTTAATACTTGTTTCTGGTTTGGCATTATGTTTCCGTATCACTCTAAAATCTACTTCAAATTTAAACTACGAAAGTCTCCGAATAAAACCTTCATTTCTTCAATAAGAGGATATAGGGTAGGCTTTTGCCTAATTCACATTCATTACTGGCCATTTGAAGAGAAGTTGCGATTTATCATTAGTTTCCTGTTCAGGATAGGGTTTCCGGCTACTACTAAAGACATTTTCTTCTCTTTAACTTCCAACAGCACCTTGCTTCTTGCGATTAGACAAAAAAAAATGGTCGGCTCATTTTGATGCTTTCGGAATAACCTGAATAAATCTCCCATGTTTACGAGAATACGTTTAAACAAAAAATATCGGCTCATTGTGTCGTTTTGGGAATAACCTGAATCATTCTCACATGCAATATGTTTAAGAGAATACGATTAGACAAAAAATGGTCGACACATTTTGTCGTTTTGGGAATAACTTGAATCTCTCTCCCATGCATTGTGTTTACAAGAATACGTTTAGACAAAACATGTTCAGCTCATTTTTTCGTTTTGTGATTAACTTGATTTATTCTTCCATGCATTGTGTATAGGAGAATACTATTACACAAAAAATGATTGGCTGATTTTGTCGCTTGGGGAATAACCTGAATCATTCTGCCATGCATTGTTTAGAGAATATATGTAGACAAAAAAAATGGTCGTTTTAGAATAACATGAATAAATTCACATGCATTATGTTTACGGTAATACGATTAGACAAAAAATGGTCGATTCATTTGGGAATAATATATATCATTCTCACATGCATTTTACGTTTAAATGGGGTTGTGTCTTAATTGCTTTACAAAACGAATCGACCATTTTGTTTGTAATCGTATTATCCTGAACATAATTCATGGGAGAATGATTGAGGTTATTCTCCAAGTGATAAAAGGAGTCGACCATTTTTGTCTAATCCTATTCTTGTAAAGATGTTGCATGTAATTTTGATACGGTCAGTGAATTACGTTTACATGAATCATTCTCCCATGTATTATGTTTACAAGAATGCGATTAGACAAAGATGGTCTGATCATTTTGTCGCTTTGGGATTAGCCTGAATCATTCTTAAATGTATTATGTTTACGAGAATACAAATCTGACAAAAAAATTATCCGTTCATTCAGTCGCTTTGGGAATAATATGAATCCTTCTCCCATGCAAAATGGTTACGAGTATACATGTAGACAAAAGATGGTAGGCTCATTCCGTCGCTTTGGAAATAACCTGAATCCTTCTCCCATGCATTATATTTACAAGAGTAGGATTAGACAAAAATGGTCGGCTAATTTTGTCGCATTGAAATAACCTGAATCATTCTTCCATGCATTATATTTACGAGAATACGATTGGACAAAAATGGCCGTCTCCTTTTGTCTCCTTGGAAATAACTTGAATCTTTCTCCGATGCATTATGTTTTTCAAGGATAGAGTCAAACAGAAATTGTCCAGCTCATTTTGTTGCATTAGCTATAACCTGAATACTTCCCCCATGCATTATGCTTACGTGAATATGATTAAATAAATATGGTCGAATCCTTTTGTCAGTGGTGGAATAACCTGAATCTTTCTCGCATACATTAGTATTAGGAGAATACGTTTAGACAAATAATGGTGAACTCAATTTGTTGCTTTGGGACTGACCTGATTACATCGGTCATGCATTAT